TCAAAGTTTATCTATTACGTGTGCTAGGAGGCCATCCTTAACGGTTTGGGGCTGCTTCCTTAAAATCTGTGATCAACTCATTTCTGGAGTTGAAAAATAATTCTGCAATATATTATTTTGAAGTGAGGGGTAATTGAACACTCACTGGATAACACTTGTCACCAACAAAGAATCAGCTTCGTTTCAGGTCCGTGGGCCGTTGGCCACCTCCTGTAATGCACAGTCGGGTGGTCCACAGCCTCACCGAAGGGCCCACGCATCACCACGCCCAGATGAGAGCTGGGGCTCTGTCTCTAGGAAATCGCCTTTCCCTTTTACTCCTACAGTAGTGGAAGAAACCTGGCTTAGATACTGTTTCAGACAAACCGATGAGACCTGGTTTGGGGCCCCCTGTATTACTTTCTCTAATCCTCTGCATGTCTGTCCTGAGTCGTGATGACAGAACTAGCTGGTCATTTTAATAGGACCCTTTGTAAAACCAATGGGGGGATTATAAATGAGATATTACAGAAGTATTAATAGAACCAGATTGGAAACACAGATCGCTGGTGGCATAAAACTAAAGGCTAATACTGAGTATAACATGCAAGCAATGCTAAATTGAGTTTTTAAGTGTGTAAAATTATGACATTCTTCTAAAATAATTATCTTTTTTTTCCCCCGAAGCACGATTTGCTCCCTACAAGCCCCAGGACATTTTGTTGAAACCCCTGTTGTTTGAAGTACCAAGCATAACGACAGACTCTGTGTTTGTGGGAAGGGATTGGCTCTTTCACCAGATAGAAGAAAACTTGAGGAACACAGAACTGACAGAAAATAGAGGCGCTGTGGTTGTTGGAAACGTGGGCTTTGGGAAGACAGCAATCATTTCTAAGTTGGTGGCACTTAGCTGCCACGGAAGCCGCATGAGGCAGATTGCTTCTAGCAGCCCCGGTTCACCACCTAAAAGTATGTGCATGTTTCATGCTGGTCTAGTTGATGATCAAATGTAAGGTAGATGGAGGACATCCATTCTCAGTTCTCCTCACGTTGTTCCAGCTTTTTGAATGCTCCCATCTCTCCTGATGCGCAGGAGCCATCCCCTGGGGTGAGGCCAGCCTTCCCTGGTCTTCTCCCAGCTGGAGAGCCTGTCTCCCTCTTTATATGGACAGTGAAGCCTGATCTGGTGCCCTGGGGAGTTTGGGTCCCAAAACCAAGGGGGTTAGGCTCCTGGCAGAAGCAGCTAGGTGGAGTCCGTGTACAATTCTCTTGTACCCGGTTCTCCACAGCCTTTGTCCTCTATGCTGGATTTACCAGGAGTATAAAAACTAACTTAAAATGGGATATAGTAGCTAAATATTTGACTAGTCATGTTTTATTTTTATGTATCATAAACCCATTAAAAGAAAGTGTCTCTAACATGGTGCACAGGAACAAGTGAGCCATGAAAGATTATTATTATTATTATTTTTTAAAAAAGCAGAAGGAATTTAATAAAAAACCAGAAACAGCAGTTCTCCCGGGGCGGGGGAGGGGGGTGGCATCTGGGTGGGTGGGAGGCAGGGCTAAGAGGGACACTTGTGTTCTCCTTTGGACCTTTGCATTTGGGACGGCGTTCACTCATTAACTATTAAAATACTCTCTGGGTCTAATCAAGAAGTATGTTCAGTATCTCACTGTACCCCTATTCTGATGTTGTAATAATTAAATTGATCTCTTTCTCTGCAGCTTCAGATTCCTCCCAGGATCTTCCTTTCACCCCATTGCTTTCACCGAGTTCTTCTGCAGGTGTTACCAACACAGCTAAAACACCCCCTGGGTCTGTATCTGATACTCCTGAAAACCAGAGACCAAGAGAGGATGCAGTGAAATACCTTGCTTCTAAGGTAATCTGCTGTTCTAGGGGGAGCCTTCCGGAGCGAGGAGGTGGGGGAGAGAGATGTTTGTTAGTTTGGCTTCTGAGAAAGGAGTTTAAAGAGGGATCTTAAAACAGAGACCATTGCATATAATGCAAAAATGTAGCTGTTGATAAAATAGCAATAGAGTACTCCAAGTAAAAGGTATTAATGAAAATAAATCTCCCCAGACACTGGCAGTGGACCTTTACTCATCTTCAACAGTGGATTGAAAGAATTCCCCAGAGTAGCAGGTTGTATCGCAGGCTCCACAAATCCATCCTTAAAACCCATGCTGGCCTTCACTTGGTGCCAGAGCGGAGACTGGGAGCCTTGAACGTGACCCAGGCCACCACACCTGTGTTCCCTGCGTCCTTCTATCAGAGGTTTCTTGCGTCCTAAAAGAGACTTGGCCGACTTTCCCTTTGTAGATTCAGAGCCATCAGGATCCTTCTGAAATTTTCCATGTGCTCAGCATCCGTCACAAGTTCCTGAGCCGCCCTCTGCATTCGAGCAGTTACGTCGCTCACTCCTGGTGCCCTGCTTGGGTCTCCCTGGGCAGCAGCGGTGTGAGTTGGCAGAGCTGGGGTACATGAGGGGCCAGTGTGAGGGACGTCTAGGGAGGATACCCCCTGGGGGTGAGTTTGGTGCAGGGGACGGAAAAGGAGGCTTTTTTGCCCCAGATCCTTGCTTTTTGCTTCTGCTTCTGAGGTGAGAGCCGCTCCTCACTGGTGTAGGCAGCCCTGGCCGCTGATTCGGGGCAGTCCTCTGGTCAAAAATGGGTGATCAGAGATGAGGGATGGCGTGTAGACTTCAAAGCCACCCTGCCACAGTGATTTTTCAAGCCATAGTAAGAGACGTGTGTCAGATGGGAGATCTGGTACACACACATACACAACTTGAAGCAAAAGCCTGTTCTTACAGCCTGTGAAATTCACTGTATGGAGTGAAAACAAGCTGTTGCCGCTCCAGATGGAGCTCATGACCCGCTGTTGAGTCGGCCGACTTCTTTTGTCAGACACAGTGCTGGATGGACGTGGTGTGGGCCGTCTCCCCGGCGGTCTTCTGTGCTCCGGCTCATCGGTCCAGGGGAAAGCTGAAGAGCCAACAGCCTTCCCCCGAGTGTTGATGATAAATCCAATCTCAAACAGGAGTCACACGACAGTTCCACATTGGCCACATCTGCTCTTGCTTCTTGTTTTTAAGAGTCTGCGGACCTGGAATCTAATCCCAGAACTTCCCTTGATTGTCTGTGTCACCCTGGCCACACATTTAACCTGGGTGCTGCCCTCAATCTGTGACCCAGACCCAGTGAGGCCGGGCGTGTGTGGAGCTCAGGGAAACAGCAGGTGCTCACACACCCTTCTGAAGAACACAGAACACTTCGTGCACACACATTTTTACCTTTTTCACCTTTCTTGCCTCATACTCCCATTCCTCCTCTTATTCACACATGGGAAGGTATCAGAGTTTGCATACGTCTACAGCACTTTTTTTCCCAGACCCTTCTGCATCTGGCACTTTCCTTGGGCTCTCTCACAAGCAGCCTGCTGCCACTTCACATCCCTCCCAACATAGGCAACGCTCCTCATCCCCTCGGTACCTGGGCAGGCACCCGTCTCCTCCTGTGTGTCCCTTCACAGAACAGGCAGACATTTGGTGATTTCTGATTGGAGTCCTTCAAACCGTGTTGCTGTTGAATTTCTCCATGGTGTCAGGGTTGTGTGTGGGGAGGGGGCTGAGGGTTTGAGCCAGGCTGCCTGGCCCTCCAGCTCCAGCTGTGACTTTCAGCACGACTCCCCTAGCCGCCAGCGTTACCTGGTTTGGGGGAGCAGCAGATGAGCTTCCCGAGGAGATGCTGCTCTTTGTGAAAGCAGAAATGCGGTGATTAAGGCACTTCTGGATGTTGAGTACATTGGGATTATTCGGAATTGCTTTAAGCCAGGGTAGGCTTTAGGTTTTATGCATGAGTTTTATTCATTTAGCTTCCGTACAGAGTAACTTGTACTGATCTTAGTGTGAATCAAGATGGATTTGTGGCTGCAATTAAAAGTCTGCCCAGAACTTGGCAAAGCGTGTGAATGAAAGAATAACCGAATCAGTTAAGCTAAATAATGACTCAGTGTTGGCGAAGAGAAGCGGCCTGTTTCGTGACTGTGGCCGATGGGAACACTGCATCTGTGTGGGATTGTGCAGGGAGCATGTGAAGAGGGGAAGGTGATGCTGATGGCCGTGCTTCTTGCACAGGTCGTGGCCTACCACTACTGCCAAGCCGATAACACGTACACGTGCCTGGTGCCTGAGTTCGTGCACAGCATCGCAGCTCTGCTCTGCCGGTCCCATCAGCTGGCTGCCTACAGGGACCTACTGATAAAGGAGCCCCAGCTACAGAGCATGCTGAGCCTCAGGTCCTGCGTGCAGGACCCGGTGGCCGCCTTCAGGAGGGGAGTGCTGGAACCGCTCACAAGCCTGAGAAATGGTACCTCTGAGTAGCCGCGCGCACCCTCTTTCTCGTTAGGAGTCCGGAGCCCCCAGGATGGTCCTCCAAATGACTTGGATGGGAGTGAGGGTGGGTGCCTGGGGAGGATGTGGGTAAATCTGTGTACGGCTCGTTCTCTTCCCCAGAACCATCTCCTCAAAGTTCTTCCATGCTTCTTGAATGGTGTCGTTTGGGCTACCTGCTCCGCGGGAAGCCTGTTTCTCCCTCTACCAGTCCCCCTGCTTGTGTTCCCTCTCTTGTTGTGTCTCTCTCTGTCAAAAAAATAAATAAAATCTTAAAACAAACAAACAAACAAAAAAAACATCTCTAATAAAGACTTAACTCTACAGTTGAATATTTCCGAAGTAGCTAATTTGTAACCGTAGGTTATTTAGAGGACTTATGCCCGGAAACTGTTGCCTGCATGTTTTATATTCATTCCTACCTAGCAGGGGGAATAAGTTGGTCGATTGAGTGACTTGCCAGCATGTTTTATCAGGGCATCTGCTCAGTTGAGTTGAACCTAAAGGCTTTTCTAGAAGTGTTCATTTGATTTTTTTTTTTTCTTTTTTTTGGGGGGGGGGTCCTTGAAATATTCAGCAAGGTAGGAGAAGTTAATGCTCTTATGGGTTGTTGCATTTCTTATCCTTTCTCCTCCTTGCTCCTCACCTTTTGAGCTAGTTTACCTGCCTGCCTTAGCATCTCTGCTAGAGGAAAGGGGATTGAAACAGATCTGTCATCATTTTGCCTCATTTTCCTGGGCAGAAAGTTAGTGCTAATAAATGGAAAACTAGATTGAAGGCTTGTGGGACAGAGCCCTGTTCTAGAAGTCTATAGAAGAGAGGTTCTCACCACTGGCTGGCTGTGTGCCTTGGGCCAGATGCTTTGCCTTTGAGGGTCAGTTTTTATCCCCTGAAATCCACTGAGAGAGTTCTATGGGGGAGGACCTAGAGCTTCTCCAGAGTTAATCTCCGTATATGCTAGTTATCTTAGCCATAGCTCACCCCAGTGACAGGAGTTTATGAAGAGCTAACTGTATCCTATACATGGGTGAGATCCTGCTAATGTGTGTAATGCAATATGTTTCTGAAAGCTGTTCTATAAGATTTGTTTTTCTCTTGGCTGTGTGCTCCGGTTTTCATGATAAATTAGTAGAAAATATGCTTCTGTGAAAACCGTTTCTTCTGTGATATGCAACCTTTTTAGTTTTTCCTAACACTTTAAAGTGTGCATTAAAATACACTGGGTGTTGCCATTTTATAGAAAAGTATAATTTCATAATTAAAAAATTATTTTATCCTTTAGAGCAGAAAATTCCTGAAGAAGAATATATTATTTTGATAGATGGCTTAAATGAAGCTGAGTTTCATAAGCCTGACTATGGAGATACGCTTTCTTCATTTATTACCAAAATTATTTCTAAATTTCCTGCCTGGCTGAAGTTGATTGTGACTGTAAGAGCGAATTTTCAGGTAAGAAAGAATTCTCAAATCTCTTTTCAAGACCCCATACCCAAATTTTATGGTGTGATTAACAACATAAACTGTTATAAAGCATTTAGCTGCTGAATTGAAAACTGTATTAGGACTTCAAAATATTTAGTCCGCAAAGCTCCAAATGGGTGAAACTAGGACCTTTTTACCATCCAAGGCACATGAATCAAGGTGTCAGGAAAGTCTCCTCTTAGCATGGCACTGTCCCTGCACTTCCAAAACGCAAGTGTCAGCCCTGGATGTAACTCAGTTTGTCTACTAGAGTTTAAAGTTATTCCTGCTGGTAGTTAATTTGTGTGGGGTTGCAGTGGGACTTTGTTTTTGTTTTTTGTTGTTGTTGTTTTTTTTAATGAGGAAAGGAAGGAAAAATTTTTAAGGCTTAAAGAAGGTCCATTTTTTCATAAAACTTAAGCATGAGCTACCACTTGCAGCCAGATGAAGTGGGGTTTTTTTTGTTGTTTTTTAAATTTTCTTCCCCATCTTTCCCCTCATTTGAACCCTAGATTATATCTTAACAACCTTTGACTCCTTCCCTCTACCCCTGTCCTTTTTTAGTAAAGACATTAGTCTTAGATTTTGATTTTTGCCCTTTTATGATGATGTCTATTTAAAAATAGCACTTGGGTTCTTTCTTTTCTCATTAGAAGTGGCATTAGGCCTCAGCCAAGCTTGATGGTTGTTTTTATGGCCATTTGATTCATACCCTTTGCAGTCATTTATCACACAGGAAGCAGAATTTGGCAATCGATAGAGCAAAGGAACAGAGTCCTATATTTTCTGTACTAGCCGTGTAAATCTTGACAGGTCCGTTAGCATCCATGTAAAATGGGAGTGATTATACTCAGCCTGACCCCTGCAATTATTAAATTCAGTGAGGACCTGGAATTAAATTCTTCAGAAATGATAGTGGGAAGTTTAAAGAAAAAGACTAAAAACTCGTCTCTGCTGTGAGGTGTCAGGAGAGTGCTGATTGTTAGGATGGGGATGGGATGGGAGGGGACGTGGGGCTTCTGGGAGCTGGTGATGTTCTGTTTCTAGCTGCTGGTGACACAGGTATGTTTGACTTTGTGAAAATTAATGACCCCATGCAATTATGGTTTGTATGTTCTACTTCCACTTAAAAGTTTACTTTGAAAGAACAGCAGTTGAAAGAAAAAAAGATGGTAGGCTCTACTGAAGTCTGAGGTAGGCAGCTTTGTCAGGGCAGACTGGGTCTGGGGCACAGCCTGGCAGGGGTGGGGGCGGTTTCCGATTTCCTGGCTCAGTTCTGCAGTCCCAGTATCTGATGCATGGTGAGGGATGCCTCTTATCTCGGTGTCTGGCTGTGTTCTTAGATACACAGTGCTGGTTTGTGTCTGTCTTTGTTGTATAACCTCTGCACAATGTAAGGATTATGGGTATCAGGTCACTTCAGGATCTCCCTCCCCTTGGCTGGTATGGCCAGCTCGCTGTCTGCTCAGGGCCCTCGCGCCTCGCTCGGCTCTGAGGCTTCGGATGAGGGCTTCGGGAAAGCCATTACTGATTCGATCTTGCATCAGGATTTCTTTCACATAAGCTTTTTATCTTCAACTTATCCTATTACATGTTTTAATACAAAACAATGAGTCCCTGTAATCCATGAAAATCCTCCTTGGAAGAAAAGTTAGTGAATCTGGTTTGGAATGCAGCTCACATAAAAAAGAAATCTCTGTGGAGTGACACCGTGGGTTTTGGTGTTTTTCCCCCTCCCCCGCAGGAAATCGTCAGCACGCTGCCCTTCGTCAAGCTTTCCTTAGATGACTTCCCGGACAACAAAGACATTCACGGTGACCTGCACGCCTACGTCCAGCACAGGGTCCACAGCAGCGAGGACATCCTCAGCAACATCTCCCTGAACGGCAAGGCCGACGCCGCCCTGATCGGGAAAGTGAGCAGCCACCTGGTGCTGCGGAGCCTCGGCTCCTACCTGTACCTCAAACTCACCCTGGACCTCTTCCAGAAGGGACACCTGGTCATCAAAAGTGCCAGCTACAAGGTGGTGCCCGTGTCTCTGTCCGAGCTCTATCTGCTGCAGTGCAACATGAAGTTCATGACCCAGTCCGCATTCGAGAGAGCGCTCCCGATTTTGAACGTGGCCCTTGCGTCCCTCCACCCCATGACCGACGAGCAGATCTTCCAGGCTATTAATGCGGGCCACATACAAGGGGAGCAGGGATGGGAGGACTTCCAGCAGAGGATGGAGGTGCTCTCCTGCTTCCTTATTAAGAGGCGAGACAAAACCCGCATGTTCTGCCACCCATCTTTCAGGGAGTGGCTTGTTTGGAGAGCAGATGGTGAGAACACAGCCTTCCTGTGTGAGCCCAGGTACGGCAGGCCGCTTGCTGTCAGCGCTTTGCAGGGAGTCGAATGTGCGATTGGGGAAAGGGATTCCAAACACAGTTCACCTTTCTCCCCCTTCCCCCTCCAACAGTTCACCTCTTCTAATGGAAAGGCAACACAGGATGAATAAATCAGGAGGGCAATGGAAGATCCTGCTACTATACAAAAGCTTCCTTCCTTTAATTGCTAGAATCCTGGGATTCCTCAGTACCTTTGGTGAGAGAGAAGCTAGGCACACCTGGTGACCTTTCTTTGCTGCCCATTCTCTTCTAGACCTTGGGGCCCTTTATGGGAATCACATGTGGGAAAGTGTGCTGCGTGCTCGGGGGGACAGCGGGCTTCTCCAGGGGCTGCTCTCAGCTCGCTTTCTTCACCTGCAGTCTGTGGACTGTCTTGCACCTGCAGGACCCCCCCTTGCCACCTCTTGGGCATGCAGCATCTTGTCCCAGGGATCAGATGTGTCTGCTGGCCCACGGAGGAGCACAGAGATCACATGCGCTGCCTCATTTTGCATTTGTGGCTCAGTGCGGTGTAACAGATTGGGATTTGGGCTCGGCAGGATTCAGGTTCCGACCTCGGATGCCCTGTTTACAACATGGTGCTGGGGCAGCTGTGTCCAGGGAGTCGAAAGTTCCACGGAGGATTTGCAGCAGGGCCAGGCCAGGATGCAGTTCTCCTCATTGCCCAGGGGAGGGCCTGCCCCTCATGTGGCCTTGTGCTAGTCAGAGTGAGAGGTCAGGGAATTTGAGGGCACGCAGATGCTTTCATTTCAGTAAGGGTGGGTTCTTGTCCCACCACTTCTGCCTGGCCCTGGCCCGCCTTGCTGTGGTCTTGTGGAACTTCTGCTATTCGTGAGTCAGAATTGCCTCTGACTGTAACAGGCCCAACAAGTGGCTGGACTATCGCCTGTGAGCTGCACGTGGCATTTGACCTGATGCTGGGGTCCAGAAAGGAAGAGGTAAAAAAAGCATTAGTGAGCCACACACCACCTTCCTCCCCACAAGGATTGACTTAGCATTGACCTAATAGGGGTCTGGCTGGTGTTTCATGTTGTGGGTAGCATTGTTTTCTTAGGTAATCCTGGGCTAAAAATTTGTTGAGCCTGGTTTGAGGCAATAAGCTTGTCACTTCCAGGCTATTTAGCCAGACTGTAATAACTAGGTGGAAATGTGTGCCATTTTATATTTGACGTATTTAGCCAAGTCAGATCATTTTCTAGGAAGACAGGCTGTAGTCGAGTTTGTAGAAACATAGAAACAAGTTTGAAAGACTGGAGAAGGGCGTGTAGATTTGCTACCCGGGTTAGAGGCAGACGTAGTTGGACTGGAGTCACTGTAAAGCATTGCTCTGGTTTGGGGGGTAGGCAGCCCTGACGGTATGCAGCCGAGGGCAGAGCCGACCGCACGGTGACGGGCGGCTCCCGACTGCTGATGTGTTCCAGTACGCAGGCATGGGGCCTGACCCAGGGTAGGGCCAGACTGCACCAGGGCAGGAGGGACACCCAGGGTGCAAAGTGTAAGGAGTTGCTACTTCTTGGGATTGTGTACATCAGCATTTACCCAAGACCCCTATAGTTCTTGAACTTCATTTAGCAGATAGAGATGGTGGAAGGGCCCTACTGGATACATTTCAGCAAAAGTTTATGCAGCTCCACCACCTATAGGGTACTGTGGCAAATACACAGATTCTCTGGGACAAGGGCCTGGCTCTCGAGGGCTGCCCACACGGGAGGGCGGGTACAGCAGGAGGTGACCATGTGTAAGGAAAACACACTGCATGTGAACTTCAGGAAAGAGAAGCTTCCAGTTAGGGGAGACAATTTTTGGAAGGTGTTTCACATACATGAGGACCTTTGGGTTGGACCTTGAAAGATGGGTAGCATTTCTCTTCCCACCTCAATTAGTTGTAATTTTGCCCCAGTTATGGAGAAGAAGCAAAAAAGAACCCAGCACCCAGAGACAGTGACATTTTACCTTTTATTTCTGCCTCTTTTTGTTCATTTTAAACATTCTCCAAATCAACTTTTCTGTATTAAAATTCCCAAACTGCCTTTTTTTTTTTTTTATTACACATGGACAGCTTAGGGAGTGGTTTGGAAATGTTAGTAAAGTATCATTTTTCAGGGCTGTGTAAACCTAGTAGGCGAATGTGCTTTACTGTCCCTTTATTGTGGGGCCTGGCAGTTGTTTCTGGGTTACTTATAACTAAAGAAACCTATTGCGAATGTCTTGGTGCTTTGCAGGAAAGCAATAGAATTTTCCTCCCAGGTTTGATTATTCCTTAGGTTAGAATTACAGGAGCAGAATTAAAAAGATAAAGAGTAAGTTGCTTAGAGTCTTCAGTCACATCACCTAGACTTAAGCATCATTCACATTTCATTATGTCATTTTTTGCTGATACAAGTTGTAGACACCATGACATTTTACTCCTAAGTAATGGATTATGGACCTCAAAAAGACATTTTTTAAAAAAAGATTTTATTTATTTGACACCGAGCATGAGCAGGAGGGAGGAGCAAAGGGAGAGGGAGAAGCAGGCTCCCCGCTGAGCAGGGAGCCCGATGCCGGTGCTCAATCCCAGGACCATGGGATCATGACCTGAGCCGAAGGCAGGCACTTAAGACTGAGCCACCCAGGCGCCCAGAAAGACATTTTCATACTTAACCACAACACTATTGCCACACCTAAAATATTAATGCTAAGTCATCAGTATTATCACACATTCAGCTGTGCTCAAATTTCTCCACTTCCTTCTTATTTTTCTAGTGTGTTTGAATCAGGATCCAGATAAGATCTATGAAATGCATTTTATAGTGTCTCTTTTAATCTATAGATTTCTTTTTGCTTTGTCCTTACATTTCTTGAAAAGAACGATGAAGGGGCACCTGGGTGTTACATTCGGTTAAGCATCCGACTCTTGATTTCAACTCAGGTCATGATCTCAGGATCATGAGATTGAGCCCTGAGCCCTGTGCTGGGCTCTGTGCTGGGCATGGAGCTTACTTAAGATTCTCTCTCTCCCTGTGTCCCCACCCCCCTCCTCACGCTCTCTCTTAAAAAAAAAAATAAATGGTTTCCCGTAATCTGAATTTTGCTGATTTCATCCTAATGGTATTTAATGTGTTTATCACCTCTATTTCCTGAAATTGGTTTTTAAATCTAGAGATTTGATCAGATTTTATCTTAAAATATTTTTTGCAAGGATACTTAATAGGTGGTAAGTTGGCTTCCATCAGCATGCCCACAACATCTTAGACCCACTGATGATCATTTCCCAGATCTGTCAGTTCATTAGGGTTGCACGAGGAGTTTTAAAACTTGAACAGCTTCCTGTCTGTTCTCTTTTCTACATGTGGACTTGAGGAATGAACGGATAGGATGTCAGTAGGTGGAATGAGGCTATTGCAGACAGGAGGGCTATCTAAGGCATCACGTCAGAATAAGCAAGTTGTGTTCTGGCAACAAGAAGTCTAGTTTGGCTAGAGTTTTTGTCAGGGATTGGAGGAGTTAAGAGAAGCATGTGCTAGGGAGAGTGGACTTGAATCCATCATCTGTGGAGAACCCACAATTGAGCAGGTTTAGAACGCAGATTGCCTACGCAGGAGTGTGGAGGCTGTGGAGCGTGCGGACCTGTGTAACAGGCAGCGGGGACTTGGTGGCCCTGGCTTGGGGATGCAGCAGGGTAGGGCTGGCCCTGCTGACATGAGATGGGTGGGCACAGCCTGGCCTTATGAACAGAGTCAAGGAGAAGGAGGTGCTGTAGAGGATGTCAAGGTGGTGAGCCTCAGAAACCAGGAGTGGCACTGTTCTTAGGAAGGGTAAGAAAAACAGGAGGTATGGAGCAGGTTTTGCTTCATGCAACTTGAGCTTGTGGGGTCAGCAGACCCGACCCCCACACCCCTCACCGCCACCAGTGGACAGGTTCCATTGGTGGAGTGAATGGGGGAGTCTGAAGCCTGGGGAAGCTGAAGATGTGGCATCACTGATAGGAGAAATGGCGGAGGGGCTTGGTGAGGAAAGGGAGCTCCTGACTTCTGGAGCATGGAGCAGGATTCCGGGAAGGAGGTTGGGGGTGTAGGAGCTGCTGAGAGCTAAAGGAAGATGAAGGCGAAGAGGGAGCCGTTGGCTTCCTAGTGTGGGAGGAGGGTCCTCCATCCTTAGAGATTCCTTCCATCAGGCAGTGAGGGGCGGAAGAGGAGAGAGCCAACATCCTGGGATGGGAAGTAGAAGGGTGGAGAGGATCAGCAGCCACACAGTGTCTTAATGTCTCTCAGAGCCACTGATGGTCGTGATTGCTGAGGATTGTTTGTGGGGTGGGGGGAGGGTTTTGTTTTTTAACACAGGAGATGCAGATGTTGGAAACAGTGTTAAGTTAACGTGGGGAAACGTAATCCATGAAGAAGGAGACGTTGGAAATGCAAGCGGCTGGGGGCAGGGAGTACAGGCACCTTGCCTCCTTTGTGTTCCCGTTGAGAATGTTCACAGTGCCCTTTCACGGAATCCTGTTTACAGTGTGTCTCTGTTTGCTGAGAGCGCCTCCAGGGAAGCGCCTCACATTGTTCGCCGGGGAATCCTCCGTATCCAGCATGGTGCTAGTTAGGAGGTGGGTGTGATTGAATGAGAAATCATGGTTCGCTGGTTCAGAGCATAGGCACTTGCATTGGGCAGACTGTGGTTCAGATTTCTACCCTGTTGTTTACCAGCTGTTTGATCTTTTGGGCAGATCACTTAAGCTATACCGGCTTCTGTTTCCTCATGTAGACAAACTGGGAATTATGATACTTAGTTGTTCACAGGGTTGTGCAGATTAATGAAATAATTCAATTAAGTTTCTGCATCTGGTATATAGTGAAAGCTTGATATATAGGAGCTTTGGAGAATGAAGAGACTTATGAGTGCAGGTAGACTTAGAAGGGGCACATGATCTGGAGACCAGGAGGGAGGGAAGAAAAGGTAAATGGGATATAGAGGAATGCAGGTATCTGGTGATTACATGGTGAATTGTCTCCTCAGGTGAGAAGTTGTGTGCTTAGCTGGGATGAGTAAGAGCCTTTGATCCAGACATTGAAGGGTTTGTGGTCATTTCCCCATAAGGGCCAGCTGTGGTACTTAGCTTCACGTGTATTTGTGGTGGACATAGTTGGCATGGCCACTGAGCTCAGCAGACTGGAAGACTGAGGATAGCTTAACCAGTGGCTGGGAGATGTGGACCAGGATGAACCCTGGGACCTGCCCGTGGCTAGGGACTAGGGAGGGCACGGGGCCTGGAGCACTGGAAGGTGGCAAAGAGCAGGAGGGGTGGGAACATGGGAGGATCTCATCTGAGAGGGAAAACCTAAGCTTGAAGTCTGGGAGGTGGGTGTGTGCTCGTGGAAGAGCTCTAGTCCCTTACAGGACCATCAGACAGGACACTCAGTGTCAGCATAGTTGTAAGTCATGCCTTCCCTTATAGTATAAAAAGCAATCTCTTGGTCTCCTGCCTTGGTCTCCTCATCTCTAACATGGTTTGTAACCTATTTGAAAAACAGGCATGCAGCTGGATAGTTAAACAATATTTAAATGATGCATGCTTTTAATCATCTAGATTAGCAACTATCAGAACATTTGGGAGAATGCATTTTTTTTCCCTAACCTTTATCCTTTTTTCCACAACTACCTGCTCATCTTCCCCCCCACCCCCCGAAAAAAAAAAAACAAAACACCTGGGTTGTCAGGTTGATAGAAATGAGAATAATTCATATTGTACAGAAATCACTGCTGTTGGAGTAAGCAACCCTTAGCATCTTTCCCAAACAGATGGGCTCAGACAGAGGCCTAGAGCCCACAGGAGGCAGACAGAATGCATCTTGCAGATGTGGAGAGCGTACTGGGTGGAACGGCTCCTTCATGAAAGGGCTGGTGGGGGATTAGTTGGTAGTGTTAGTTGAATGTCCACCGCGTGCCCAGACCTAGCAAGTCCACTTGTGCATCTTAGCTTTCTCCTCACACCCCGCCCCCCGACAAGGATCTGTGTTCCATCCAAGGCTAGAATTCTAGGTGTTTCTGTCATGAGCTGTTGCTTGCCTGGCTCGATTTTTCTTTCCTTCTCATTGTCAGGTCTTCTCCTTTGGCCAGGTCTACTCCCAGTGGTGATTATGCTGAGGGAGGCCTGAATTCCTGGTCCAGTGATGGTTCTGCTCCATCTGTACATCCGTCCATCCAAGAAATACATATTTGAATGGTTGCTAAGGGGTGGGCATTTGCTTGGCTTTGTGACTATCTGTGCCTTAGACAAGACCCTTAACCTAATAGAATTTACATTTTTGTGAGGGACCTAAGTAAACAAGGTGATGGCTGATGGATGAGGGACAGAGTGGGTGGTTCCAAAAATAAAGACCTGCCCCATCCTAGAACTTCTTTCTAGGTCACTCCACAGAGATAGGGGAATCCAGAGAAAGCCCTAAAATGACGGGAAAAATAAACAGCATTGGCCATCTTTTTAAAGAGGCAACTTTTCACCTATTTTGTATGGTGATACTGAAGCACCAGGAGAACAGTTCAGAGTTGTGTGGAGATGTTCACACCTGAGAGCCTACAGTTCATGGAACGGGGTCTTTGTTCCCAGCCTTTGTGTTTCTTGTCCTAGGAATGGGCACGCTCTCCTGGCCTTCATGTTCTCTCGACAAGAGGGTAAGCTGAACCGCCAGCAGACCATGGAGCTTGGCCATCACATACTGAAGGCACACATTTTCAAGGTGAGACACACCGCTGCCAGGAAGAGTTTCATTGTCATTTTGATGGGTTTTGGAGATTTTCAACAGCTTTATCAACCCTCGCAGAGCTTTCCATGAGCCCCATTTGTTTTTCCCCCTTTGAGTCTCTTTTAAAAGTTCCTTTTCACCTAAAGATTCCACTTCATTCATTCCCTTTTGTTTCTTGGGTACTTAGTTGTTGAAGAGCCTGAGCTACATGACCTGTGGGGTTTCGCACTCCCTGGATTTTCCGGTTGTGTCCCTATTTCTCATGGTCTAGTTTAACATGTTCTCTTTCCTCTGGATTTCCTATCATTTGGTAGTTATATCTAGAGGCTTAATCAGGTTCAGGTTTGATTGTTGCTTTTTTGGGGGGGTGGGCAGAGTGTCACAGTTTCTTTAGAGTTTAAACTCTTAAGTCTCTCGGGGGTTTCTGGCATCAGGAGGTACAGAATTTGTGGTTGCTTCTCTTAGTGTGATGTTACCAGTAACTACTGATCTCTGCCTGGACTCTTCATGAAGGGTTACAGAATGGTGATATTCCAATTTTTATCCTTCCTTTATGAAATGATTGGAGAACTTGTATAAAAAGAAACTTTCTCGGGACGCCTGGGTGGCTCAGTCGTTAGGCGTCTGCCTTTGGTTCAGGTCATAATCCCAGGGTCCTGGGATGGAGCCCCGCATCGGGCTCCCTGCTCAGTGGGAAGCCTACTTCTCCCTCTCCCACTCCCCCTGCTTGTGTTCCCTCTCTCGCTGTCTCTGTCAAATAAATAAATAAAATCTTTAAAAAAAAAAAAAAAAAAGTTTCTCCTTCGGTGTAGTGTATGTAGCAAGGGCAGGCGTATTCCTTGACTCTCGGTTTTAGGGAGGGAAGTCAGACTCCTAGGTCCTGGTGTCCTTGTGTTAGTGCCCAGCTGCACCCTCCCAGGCGTACCCCATTGCAGCCTGATGTGGCTGGGATAGGAGACATGGACACCCATTTGTCTCTGATTGCTTCCAGGGCCTCAGTAAGAAGACGGGAATCTCTTCGAGCCACCTCCAGGCCCTGTGGATCGGGTACAGCACCGAGGGGCTGTCTGCTGCCCTGGCCTCTCTCAGGAACCTCTACACTCCCAACGTGAAGGTGAGCGACACTCTGCATGGAGAGCCAGAGCCCCCAGCCCCTGCCACCATTCCTTCAGCCGTTCCGCCTTTCCCTGCCCTGGACAGTGGCCAGAGGAGCTGCCGGAGCTGCTAATGATGCTTTTTCCCCTGATTCACACAGGCTTGAATGCCCTATGACTGGTTCTCTTCCAGAAGTTTAGCTTTTGCTTGGGCAGGAAAATGTGGGCTGCTGTGTGAGCACGTGGTGACAGTTTCAGAGCGGATGTGCTGAGGAAGCAATTCACAAAGGAAACCAAAGGTTAAAGGGAGATTTCCAGGGAAAATGGATTTTTAAAGTGTCCTGGGTTTCTAATCTGGACTATCTCTTTATGGTTCATAGGAAATTAAGCATTGATGAGCGACAACAAAGCGATGGGTACACAGAGACAAACTGTTCTAGAAGTGGCACTTACACGTGTGTCTGTGACCATGGGACGTGTAGCAGGGGTCGGCCCGCTGCTGGGCCCGGAGGCGTCCTCACTCTTGATCACTGGCTGTCATGTGACAGTATTCTGCTGTGCTTTTTAGAGTAGATTTTCCTTCCTCCTTTAACCCAGTCTGAGAATCTAAAACACATGAGGGCCAAGTGTCTGTTACGGCAACAAAGAAGGGCCAACTCCCAAAGAGTGTGGGAATGACTGGTTTACATTACAGCAGCTTACAACCATCTTGTCCAGTGCAAAGTAAAAAGATCATAAATGTCTTCCACTGGACATGTCAGCTAGACTCCAGGCCTTTCAGCCCCAGGTCCTGACATGCCCTGCTGCATGCAGAAGCCCTGAGGCAGTTTCTCAAGGAGCCAGGTCCTCCTGTTCCAACACCTCCATGAACACAGTCCTGCCTGTTACCTTCTCAGTAGCATGAAGGGCCAGTGTAAGTAAGTAAGTGGTCATGTGGGGAAGGACATGCGAAGCCCTGGAGGTTTCTGGGCATCCCCCCTCCCTTTTCCTCCCTTCAGTTCCTCCCTGGGGACACTCCTGGGGGACTCCTGCCCCTCTCCTCCCACCTTGTCTGCAAACCCCACCCTCAGCACCTGCACCTTAGCTGTGTGTCTGAGTATGGACCTTGCAGAACGCTTCCCTGGTAGATAGAGTTCTTCCCCCCGTGCTTCTTCCTCTGCCTTCCTGGTGCTTGGGAGAGGGTAGAATGAGCAGACCGAGAGGCGCCCAGGTGTCAGGAAGGATGTGGCAGCGCTCCAAGTCTGGGGCAGCTCCCCTGGAGCCCTGATGCCCGTGCAGCGCCCTGGTGTTGGGTAGAAAAAGGCCACTGCTCCTGGATGGATGCAAACCGGGGCTTTGCGAAGATAAGCACTGCCTCGTTCAGGCAGCCTCCGCCCACTGTCAGGGTTCCAGGCTTGATGAGCCCAGGGCACCTTGGATTTCAGCCGGACTCCCCTCTTGGCTGGTCACCTGACAGCGAAGCACCCCTGGAGAGCCCCTCACAAGAACCCTGTGCTCTGCCCCGCTCCCTCATTTAACAGACATAGGTGTGAATGCTATGTCCCTGGCTGAACCCACATGAACGTTGTACAAGCCGGATGGATCGGGATGCCGGTGTTTGTAGTTAAGGAGAACTAGCTCCTACTGATCACAGGGAGCTCTTCCTTTCTGGATGGAGTTACTCTAAAAGAAAGGTGGAGGACAGGGCTGAGTTTAGATTTCACATAGTGAAGAAAGTCATATTAAGAATTTTTGTTTTGGGCGCCTGGGTGGCTCAGTTGGTTAAGCGACTGCCTTCGGCTCAGGTCATGATCCTGGA